AGCTATTAATTACAATTACAAACATCATAGTGCTGCCTTGAAGTGTGCTTCAAGGCAGAGGAACCAGATGCTCCTTAGCTGTTAGATAACAAAATCCCAGTGATATTATTGTACCTTTCAGGTTTAATATTCTTGTAATTTGATTGATTTTCTCTCAGCTGCTTTTCTTTCTTAATTTTTGGAGTGTTAATGTTAAGTACTGTGGTAGCAGTTGTAGTTTGCTCAACCTCCTCCCAAGCAGTGTGTAGCCTCTGAAGGCCCTGAAGTTTACGGATCAGCTCTTGCTGCTCTTGAAGCTGTTGTTGCTGTTCTTCAATCAGACGCTGCTGTTCCAGGGGGGCCAAAATAGCAGAAGATTTCTTTTGTTTTGATAGATCAAGATGTTGCAAGGAATGCTTTGTTTGATTCCCAAACCTGACATGGTCCTGAAGATTGAAAGCAGCATGTTTTCTGGTGATTTGCCATGGCCATTTTGGTTGACTTGGTGAATGGAGATTGCATTTTTTACTTGTCCCTGGAGAGTAGGAATTTTCTCTTTCAGATTTTGCAATTGTGGGATTATTTTGAACAAATGGTACTTCAGTCAGCTTGTTAACCTCTATTTGGTTTATCTCTGTATCACTTGCAGGTTTATCCTGGGTAACTTCTGTCTCATGAATTTTATTGGTAGGTTTTGAGAAATCTGATGTTAGTTGCCCCAGTGATACTTCTTCCAAGAGCGTTGCCATTTTTCTTTTCATTTTTTCTTTTTTCACCTCTAGGTCTCTCTTTTCCATCTCTAATCGGCTCCAGCATTGCCATTCAGCAAAGAAATGACGCAAAATGCATTTCCGGTTAAACTCTATAGCCAATTGGTTTTTCCTAAATTAAGATATTTTTAACAATAGTTTTAGAATCCATGGTAGAACTGTTTGACTTTTATTTACTTATAAAAGAGTTGAGCATGCATTACTAGACGTGGCCCTCTTGTATCCTATTTGCAGGTCCTAGAACTAGATCCTCTGCAGTAGGCAAAACTGACTTGTTTACATAATAAGGTTCTCTTGGAGCTTAAAAGATAAAATGGATGCCTTAAGTCTTGCATCCATTTGGTCTCCACCTCCAGCCAAATAGACTTTCAGTATCCTGACATCAGCAACCATGGCTGTTGCAGTCCCTAGTAGGAAATTAAAATGAAATGCAGCCCTCAGACAAAAAAATATAGTGTATTTTTATGTAGTATATTTTCTATTGTAATGACTTATTTTGGTATATTGTTTTGCTTGTTGTAGTTTTCACTATATTTTCAATAATATGGGTCAAGCATAATATAATTGCTGTTAGTAAGAGCCATATCAGCATATTTCTAAGGGAAACCATTAGGCCTCTCACAAGCCTATTGAAATATTTTTTTTCTAATAAGTTTTTACTCAATAATGATTGTGGCCATGATGAAGATCAAATGTACTTGGGACAGATAAAATGTACTTTGCTTTCCCTGCATTAGGTTAATGGATTCCTAATGTAATTTCTTGGAATTTAATGAAATAATAATAGATTCATCCAGGAACGGTTACTCATCAAAACTATAGGGTCATGCTTATGATGCAAGAGTCAAAAAATAAATAAAGACTGGAGGGTGGGGTGTGTGGAAGAGAACACTTTGAAAAACTTTAATAATCATAGTATTAATTCTACCAGCTGAATTGTCCTTATGAGTTTATATAAGTGGCACAGTATTTTGAAAACATCTTACACACCAATAGCACTAATTACATGTTAATGAATACTAATATTGCTGTCTTCTTCATAAAAGAGTGAAATGCAATAGCTCAGGTGAAAAGTTTGAAAATATACCATCATAATTGCTTTTGAGCTGCATCTTATATATTCTATTTTAAAAGCACTCCAATAAACAAACAAAAATCAAAATAATTAAACCAAACTTTCAACTTGACAGGAAGGAATTGTGTTAATATTGCTACCTATTTTGATCCCGAAGCTGATTTTCCATTTTTTGAGTCTCCTTCTCCAGTTTGTGAGACCATGAATAATCTCTCCAGGCTCGGAAAATCTTCAGCTGGCACTTCCAGTCTGCAAGGGCTCTTGCTTTTCCCATTTTAATTCTGAGATCCAGAATAAACTTGTACCAGGCAGAAAAATACTTCCGTAGGCACTACATTGGAAATCAAATAACCATGTTCCATTGTGTCATATTTTACATTTCTGATAATGTAAAATGTTGGAGTATTGCACTAAGTGCCTTCAACGTTCACTGACTACTGTACCACCTTTCATAAATTGTAATGATTTGTTACAGTACAAAGTAACAAGTAAATGTTAGATATGTCAGAATGAATAGAAAAGTATGAAAGAAATACACTAGTTATGTGGAGAGGATGAGGACTGATATATGTAAAACAAATATATGACGGTTGAGAAGCAGACTTGAGAAAGCCAGGGAAGGATGAAGTTGATATCACAGAAAATAAATATGTAAGATATATATGTTGAAGTGGTATGGAAAACAAAATTTGAAATGTATTAAGAAGTATAGTAAATGGTATTGGTGCAATCTAGATTCTTTTCTCTTTTGTGTTTCTTTTGTTTACTACTACTTTCTTTTTCTGTGCTTTCCATAATATTGCTAATACTGAAAAAGTAGAAATAGGCATTTTTCAAATGTAGATTTAAAGAAGTAAATAAAGAGCTCTCATCCTCCCCACTCAAACTCATATGTGGTAAATTCTCATTAAAAAAAAATCTCTTTTTTAAAGAAAATATCAATTGCCTACATCTTCAGTTAACTTTAACGTGTTAACATTATTTCATATGTATTGCCATCATAATTGATCACATAACTATCATTTTTAATGAGAACCTACATCTCATCTCAGCAAGTGATCCAGGATGCGCTGATCTTAACTGCTTAAGCATGTGTGAAATCCCTAGAATCAACCACAAATCCCTTCAAATTAAATATTTTTTTAATGTCTGAAATGTTGTTCCCATATGAGAGCTCAACGTCCTTGTATAAAGTTTTGTAAAATTTTTCAGATTTTTATTCTGGAAAGCACCAAGTGCTTGAAGAGCTTATTTCCTTTTGACCTTTGACCTAAAACTTGCTCACTTATTTTAACAGATCCTCATATAGCTACATGTTTTATGAAAAGGCAAAATTGTTTAAACAAATATTAAACACGTACACACTTATACAATGGCCCTTAAGACATGCATATAAAATATTAGCTAGTGTGAACTTATATTTAGTTGAATCAAAATAAGTTAAAGCAGGAGAGCTATAAGTCTTCAAATAGCAAATATACTACAATCTTTTGCATTGCTATTGATTAGTAGCTTCTATGTGGCTAATAAATATAAATACACATTGTATATAGCAATTGTCATTTAGCAAGTGGAAAAATAATTTCTTGATTTTCTTGCTTTAAAGAAGGAAGAAAAAAAATTATAAGAAAACTTGAGCTGACATAGTGTGCTATATCCTCAGGTTTAAGCTTAGTCATCAAGCATTTTTCATAGCAGGTTCCAGATTTTGGCATCCATCTGCTCTCCTAACCTTCTATAACCTTTCAACTTCAAATCTATACATTTACCCTCAATCCATTTTAACATAAACGACATCTTGAGTTTCTTTGTTTAGTGAGACTGTTAACAATTTTAGCTAAAGCTAAAACAATCCATCTCAAAGTGCTGAAGCCAAGATCATGAATGTCCTCACCTTCTGATCAGCAGTGTTGACTTTGCTTAGCAGTTCCAGCTGTTTGTCCTGTTCCTCCTTCTTTTGTCTTTCATTGTCACAATTCAGACAGATAAGGTCAGTAAGAGGCAGGCCAACTTCTATCAGACTCTGAATTTTTTTTAAATTGTGCCTCTTTCTTTCCCTAAAATAAGACAGTTAGTGAGGGGTTAGAGAAAAATAATAGAGAAAGAGGCATATGTTGATCAATCCTTATTTGATGTACTTTTTATTTCAGCTGAGCAGGTTTTATAGCACTGCTATAATACATTTAGTTATTGCTATGTTCTCCATTTCACAAGCTAGTATTACGCAATATATGTTTATACGTAGCTGTTAGGGAGTAAACTAAGATACTAGCACTTAAAGAATTATATAGGGGCATAAAAGGAAAACTGCCTCAGTAGGTTCCCATAATGCCTAAAGAAGTTTCTATAGAGATTTTCAATCATATTAATGTCATATACAACTATAGAAACTGACAATTTGAAGAAACAATTGCAATCAAATAAGGATACACTAGAAAAATAATTTGATTTTTGATTTCATTTTTACAGTTCATATAACATGATACCTACTTAGTCAGTTGTTTTAAAAACTATACAGAGATGGTTTGGAAAAGAAGACTGCCCAGTTTCTTCCATGTCTACAAATCTCAAATTTAATTATGATTGGAAACTAATCAATCTCCATAGCATCTTTGGAGATGAGATTCTAAGTTGTCTTACATTTATATCCACCCTCACTCCTTAGAACTCCAAATGATTTTTAGATGATCTTTCATCTATTTAGTTAAAATATATTTGCTTTATTACGGTTGTTCGAACTCCTAGATTTAGGATCCAGAATGAACTAATTTTTCACCAAAGCTTACATTTTCCGTGCTTCTTCCATGAGATATCTTTTCTCTCCCAACTCCTTCCGCAGTATTACCATCTGTTTTTTGATCTCTTCTTCTTCTTTTTTGGCTTTCAAATCTTTCCTCTTCATCTCCTCTTGCAGTTGCTTTTGAGCCTCTGATACTGCTAACTTTTTCAAGGCTTTTTCTTGTTTTAGAAGTTCAAGCTCTTTCTGCTTTTTCAAGCGATTTTCTTTTACCTGGAAAACAAGAACCAAAAAAGTGTTAAAGCACAGACCAATCACTGAATTTAATTGCCAAATAACTTCTAATCACTAGGTGATGGATTTATACAGGAGAAAGTTGACTCTTCTACCAGTAAAAAATTCTGATTAGAATATGCAAGTAGGCTTCTGATAAGTCTATTGAGGCTGGAAGTATTCCAGTATGTTGGCTTCTGATACAGACCTTAATTTCTCCATTCTGGAGGTTCAGTGCCTGATGAATTTGCTTAGCAGCCTGGGATTCAAGATACACTCCAATCTTTGAAAGAAAAATTATTTTCTTCCTTTTCTGAAATAACCCTTGTCTAAAGAGCAGAGAGTTTCCCTGGCTCTCTCCCCTGAAATAAGGGTAAAATTAGTCCATTCTTTTCTTAAAGAATGGACTAAAACAGAAGTCATTTTTTGAACTCTGGATTCTTGGATACTTTTGAGAAATCCAAGCAGAGGCTGCTACTGCTGAAGTTTTCCTTTTCTCATTTAGCCTTGTTCTTTCTTTTGTGACTTATGTGGTTACCCTTTCTTGTCCCGCTTCTTTTCTTGAGTGAAGAAGAAAAATGAAGTAAAAGACTAAAATTTGTTTGATTTATATTCTGCAGGTGCTCTTTAGAAGGCAGAATCAAAGGTTGAAAGAGATAGAAAAAAGTTCTTTCCTTCTCAAAGTGAAGAACAGCAAAATTTTGCACTTTTGGAAGATTGTGGGCAATAAAGGTTGAACTCACAAAAATGCTATGAATTTTTGCTTCTTGATTTCCTGAACAAGCCATTATATCTGATTTGCACATGATACTAAGCAATAATAGGTTAGGGTAAGGCATTTTTGGGGACTCTGTTTGGCTCCTAATTCTTTCATGTTTCCTGATAAAGAAGGGAAATGTTCCTAAACTACCCAAATCCAACCTTGGCACTAAATGGATATGCTGGGTAAATGAAAGGAATCAGAACCAAGTAGTGAAGTAAAAAGAGGGAGCAGCCTTCCACTAATTTTTGTGCAAAATGTCCAGCCAATCACATTAATAGCAATTTGTACTGATTATCTCTGGCATGGCTCACATTTTAAATGCATCATTCCGTTTTTCTTCTGGAGCAAAGTGCACTTTTTCCCCCCTGTACAAAGTCTTAATGCACAGAGTCTTGATTTTATCTAAGACTCTCTTGCTCCTCAGATAAAAGTGGAACCTGCCATAGCATGGAAATACCACTAGGAAGAAAACTAAGCATTATAGTTGGAAGCCAAAACCCAACAAACCACATTACAGGCCACTATACTTTCAATTTATTATTTTCATATTGCATTTCTTTCTTTCCTCTATGGGATTGATTTAAACAATATCAAGACTTAGCAAATTTATGAAGAAATATAAAGTGAGTTTTAGAAGGTTTTCCATAAATATTATATTATTACTTGTTTATGTCTTAGTTCCATGTTAATTCGTAAGTCTCTGGGTTCCTTTTTCTCTCTGATGCCTTTAGTTTTAAGGTCTTCCAGTATACCACTGTTCACAATTTCACTTTGCAATAGATGCTGTAAAAAATCTTGTACCGTGGTGCTTTCCACCTCTTGCTCCAAATAACCACAGAAATCTAGAAAACATAAATCATATTGAGATTGAATGTAAAATGGCATGTTTAAACTTTCTGTCCTAAATCAGGAGTTGCAACTTGCAATGTCCTATTTGTGTTTCCCAGAGCACTCCACAACACCAAAAATGAGCTACAAATGTTTGTTTCATGAAGGCATTTGTATTTAGAAACGGTGAAACCATAGTGGAAATCATAAGCCTCTGTGAGCTAAAATACACTTATTTCTGTCCTTAAAATCTCTCCATACACAGCCCAATTACACTGAGTTTGGAACTCTGAAATTTAGTAGCAAAATATCACCTTCCAGTAGCATGATTTTCAGCTTAAGAATGTTAAAATAAGAGTGGAAAATACAGGTAATAAGCTTTTGAAAACATGAGTGGCTATTTTTTTAATAGTTACTTTCCTTAATTGTTTTGTGGGTGGAAAGATTGGATACAAATCAAAGTAATATTTGTTACATCATTTTCTAAAAAATATTTTAATTTCTCTTTGTAAGATTGCCTACAAGGAACACAACAAAATGAGAGAAGGGCTTTTCCAGGACAGCCCTGTCTTTCTGGAAAAGGATAGTTTTTGGGCTTAGTTATGCCACAACAATGCAATTTTCTCAGAGTGGGCTTTATTGACTATTTAGATTATTAGATACAGTAGTGTTTTACTTTCAATTTAATTGTTTTGTATGAATTTTACCAGTACTTGCTATTATAATAGTGTACCAGGAGAGTTTTTGCTATTATGGGAATACTTAAAATAAATTTAAACTCAGTCTCACCATCAAATTTTTTATATTTCTGAAAGCCAGCAACAGGCTCTTGTAAAGGAACAGAGTTAGGTGCTGAATTTTGAACATCGTTGTCTTCGTCACTTGCCAGTTCTAATTTCAATTTTGAATTCATCCAGTCATTAAGCAACTCTTGAGCTGCAATAATGGAAGCAATAAAAATATTACTAGATTCAAAATTATCAATAAGTAAAAGTTTAAAATATGAAAAGGAGTCTTACACCCCAAACCTAAACTCTGCTTAGAGGCAAATCAAACTGGCTTCTGCACTATTAGTCCCAAGGAGATTTATCCAAGATTTTTATTCTGATTTGTTAAAAAATCTTGTTATTATTTATAGTTGATCTTATATTTGGAAGCTCACAAGCCTAGGAGGAATTGGGAAGGTATAAATCGCATTAGTTAAAATGATACATAGATATTTAACAACATCTATACAATAAATTTAAAGCTATCCTCAATTACATATAATCACCACTTTGAATAACTGAGACATGCTTCTTCAAATTTCTGTGTAAAGTTAAACAGATATTCCCTTCCACCATCATACATACATCAGGTATTTTCATAATCTCTTGGCATAACAGGATGTTTCAACTCCCATCTCCCACAAAATTACAAAATTGTGATAGGGAGATGGGAGAAGAGATCCCCGCTTTTCTAGGGATGGGTAATTTATTGCTCAGTGTTCTACAATATAGTAAAAAAAACAAACCAATTATTCTGGATTAGCTGGAGTCCACAGCAAAATGTTTACGAAATACCTTCTACATATGCTTCATCATGATCTAGCAGCTGATCTGTTGTTTCCAAATCCAGCACTGGACCATGAAATCCACGAGAATGGGATGTCTTTTTTAATGAAAAAGCTTCAGAAACAGCAAATTCGGAGGCTTGTTCCACCCGCTGAATTTAAAAAAAATAAAAATAGAAAAGTTATTAAGATCCACTTATTTTGCCTAGCACAAAAGAAGATACTTTGATTGGCACTAAGGTTGGAAGCACATGGTATTTATTCTGCTGGCTTTATCTTTTTAATTTTGGTCTTTTTATGTATTGGAGGGTATCTCTTTTATTGATGCATTATTTTATATTAATATTGTTAGACACAGTTTTTTGAAACTGAGAAGCATATTAATATTTAATACTTAGAATAGCATCCACTAAAATGACTAGAATTTAAAATATCTGTCCCACTGATTTCAGTGAATTTGCTTAGAATTGAGTGGCCCCAGCAATACACGAGTTCTTTTGATACATATGAAGAGTCCTTTAGAAATGCCATATAAATGGATGAATTTCCATAAGGAAATTGCTAAGAAAAGACTATGTAAACCATATATTCTCATCTATCCTGGCCTGAGGAGCTTTTTTTCCACCCCTACTATGACCAGTGGAAGTCTAGCACTTAATAGTTGTACTTTGAACTGTACTAGAAATATGTATTAGTGAATAAATGTTGCTGTCTTCAGAATAAGGCACTTTTAATTCCATAAATCCAGGTTTTAAACACCCAATTGATTCTCAGTTGTCTAGAGGAGTCTAGAAGAACATGATTAACTGCAATTACAAGGCTTAAGTAAAATCATATATATATGACACACATATATATGGCATATATACATATGTATATATCCCATGTACATACAGTGTATGGGGTGTATATATACTGGGGTTCAAAATTTCCATTACTAAGAGGGGCATGAATTTGGACTGTCCTAGTCCAACTCTTAACCATTATGTCACACTGGTTCTATCAGTAAATTATAGATTTATACACATTTCTCAATATAATTATTTATATGTATTTATTATTTTCTTCTAATAATAATTGTAATAGACTTTAACACTTGCGCAATTAACAGTCCAGTATTGTTCATAATTATTCAGAAAAGGAGTCTTATTGGATTAAAGGAATCTTACCAGGGAACTCAAGATTTCTTCCCATTGAATAAGAAATTATTTTTTTCAGATATTTAAGACTGAACATTATTTTTCCTTACCTTTATCCAGTGCTCTATATTGTCAGCATCAAACTGTGGCTTGGAATTAAAGAATAAAATATTTTAATTTTCAGTTAAAGATAAAATGAAAGTAAAATTAAGAGATCTCTATGGATGCCTTTATATAAGATCTCCGATTTTGTAAAACTTTAATGAAATTAGTTAGTATATTTTTATTTACTACCATATATTTATGTAATGCTATTCAATAGGCACAGTCTTTGATTTACATTAACTCATTTTACAGTAAATGTTCTCAAAATAAATGAGACAAAATATTAGTTATTACTGCAAGCACATTTAAAGAAATGATGGAAATACACATACTTAGGTGT